TGCATGGTGCTGGGTTTTTTTTCTAATTGTTTAAGCAACTTTATTAATTATATATGGTTTATAAACATTATTTTAAACATTATGCACTTTTTTTCAAAGATAGTCTTGTTATTTTATTACGCTTTGAAGAAACGTGCATAATAATTTGCTCGATGCACCCCCTTGTGGCCTCAGGAGGGAAGCCAAAAGCTTTTTTTCCCCCTAACTGAAATTATGCCTTTTAAATTTGAATATAATTCGAATTTTGATAATATTTAAGTGGAAAATTTGAATTTAGTTTTTTAGTCATTTTGACAGCCCTAATAAGGAATAGTCGAGCCAGTGTCATCATTTATTCACCCTCATGTTGTTCCAACTCTGTTATTTTCTTTCTTACAATTTGTTCAATGTAATACAAATATAAAGCAATGCAAAAGATTCTTGAGAGATGCAGACCAAAATTTAAAGGGATAGTTCACCCAAAAATGAAAATTCTGTCATTAATTACTCACCCTCATGTGGTTCCAAACCTGTAACACCTTCAGCGTTGTTTACGTTCAGTAGACAGCGCGCGCATGCTGAACGTAAACAAAGCTGATTACGTTGATTATGTTCTGGGATACTCTCGAAAAAATGGCGGAAGACGGTAACTCGGAGAGAAGAACTGCTAATAAGCATAAGTAAAAATGTAAAATATATATATATTTTTTTTAGTAAAATATTACTCTACACTCTTAAAAATAATGGTTACAAAAGGGTTTTCACAGCGATGCCATAGAATAACCATTTTTGGTTTTTAGTGAACAGTTCTTAAAATAATATATTTTTTCTTAGTATAAAGAATATTTTAAAAATCTATAGAACTTTTTTTTACACTATTAAGAATTTTTTTGTCCAATGGAAAGTTCTGGATGGAATCACGCCAATAAAAAACTTTATTTTTAACAGTGTATTTAAGAAGACAAAAAGTCATATGACTAAACACTATAGCTTCAAAAGGAATTGTAAAATTGCAATTGTAAAAGTAGCGCAGACGTTTTCCAGGCCATCCAGTAGATGACTGTGTCAATGTGTGTCCTGCCAGGGAAATACACTCACTGCAATTGGCCTCGTCTGAGCCGTCTCGGCAGTTGAGCACCTGGTCACAGCGCTGGCTTCTGTTATAACATGCCCCGTTAGCACACCTCAGCTCCGAGCACTCTGGGTAGACTGAGAGAAAGAGAGCACGTCCATCACTCACTCATTCAATTAAATATAATCACTCTGTAATACGATACAGGGTTCCACTGCAGTACGGCATCGAGCGAGTGATATTAATGTGTAAGCAAAGAAACAGCATAAAGCTCATGTAGAAAACAAACACAAACTTCTGCAGCCAGATGAGCATTATGTGCATAGCAGGTCTGTTAGATTAAAGCAGCTCAGTGATGAACTGACACTCGCACTAATCCACCGAGGAATCTGCGATCAACTCTGACAAACAAGAAGCATATTGTGGCCATTTCTGTCCATCAGCGAGACTCTTAATCTTTCAATGTGTGTCCTGCCAGGGAAATACACTCACTGCAATTGGCCTCGTCTGAGCCGTCTCGGCAGTTGAGCACCTGGTCACAGCGCTGGCTTCTGTTATAACATGCCCCGTTAGCACACCTCAGCTCCGAGCACTCTGGGTAGACTGAGAGAAAGAGAGCACGTCCATCACTCACTCATTCAATTAAATATAATCACTCTGTAATACGATACAGGGTTCCACTGCAGTACGGCATCGAGCGAGTGATATTAATGTGTAAGCAAAGAAACAGCATAAATCTAATGTAGAAAACAAACACAGACTTCTGCAGCCAAATGAGCATTATGTGCATAGCAGGTCTGTTAGATTAAAGCAGCTCATTGATGAACTGACACTCGCACTAATCCACCGAGGAATCTGCAATCAACTCTGACAAACAAGAAACATATTGTGGCCATTTCTGTCCATCAGCGAGACTCTTAATCTTACAAATTGATTAAAATGCCAAAGGAGCCTTCGAGGGGAAGGAAACACACACACACACACACACACACACTATATAGGGCTGGGCGATATATCAAATATTAATCATTTATTCACAATATATTGCTATGATGTTTATGCACTTTATGCTATTTAAATGTTGATTGACTAGTGCAAGTATGAGAGCGTTAAATTCATGAAATGCAATGCAACGTCGTGACCGTTCTGCATCCTTAATCCAATGCATTTCCGCATGAAATAGGATATTTAAGGAACAAGGACATGAGTTTAACCACTGGAAACTGGCTGGATGGTAAAAAGCATACCAGAATGGAGTCAGGTGGTTAAAGGAGAAGGGTTGCAATGTGTTTGATGTGAATTTATAAAGTAAATTGGCTCTATTTCGATTTCACTTGGACATCTGATTTAAACTAAATTAGCGAAAATGGCAACAGACTCAGTCAATTTGATTCAAATTAGTTCAAACTAATTCCCAGTCGATTCAAAAGTAATTCAGAGATTCATTTGTTTTAGCACTCAAAATGTTGCATAGAAATTAAAATTATTAAACAGCAATTACATTTATATTTATTTGTTTAATGAAAAACTGTAGCTTTAAGCAGGGTTATTTTAGTATTCTTGAGATACTATTAAAGTTAGTAGTTATTATATAGTTATTTTGAATTCATTTTAAGTTGTAATTTTAATTTTAGTTAAAGTTGTGTCTTTGGCATTTTATTAGTTATTGTTTTTCAAAATCTATCTGTATAGTTTTTAACAAATTTGATCTCAGTTTTAGTCATTTTAGTACATCAAGTTAAATGAAAATGAGAAATGTTTCTTCGGCAACTAGCTAGAATAAAATATATAATAAAATAAATCACTTTATTTCAGTTACATTTATTTAGTTTCAAACGAAAATGTTCTTTTATGTTTTTAGTTTTAGTATGTTTGAACATTCTATCCATCAAAGAATCCTGAAGAAAATGATACAGTTTCCACAAAAATATTAAGCAGCACAACTGTTTTCAAAATCAGCATTTTAGATTGATTTCTGAAGGATCATGTGACACTGAAGACTGGAGTAATGATTCTGAAACTTCAGCTTTGCATCACAGGAATAAATTACATTTTAAAAAATATTACAACAGAAAACAGTTATTTTAAATTGTAACAATTTATTATTATTTTATTTTTTTTATCAAATACAGTTAATGCAACCTTGGTGGTCATAAGATACTGCAAAAACATGAAAAAATCTTAGCGACCCCAAACCTTTGAATGTTACATTGAATATCCATAAACAACTGTAATATATATTATATATAGCTGTATTGTCCAATTCTAATCCCATCACACACATACCGACAGAATACTTACGGCAGTTTCTCTCATCTGCTCCGTCTAGACAGTCAGGCACACGGTCGCACCTGTATCCTCCCGGGATGCAGGCCCCATTAGTACAGGTGAACTGTGAACTGGAGCACGTCCTGCCAGCTGCCAGCAAAGATCAAAGACACATGATTATAATATGAGTGCGCTGGGTGGTCCTCATCTTCACTAATGTGGCATGCTCTCCCTACAACATATGCACGCTTTGCCTTTTGTTTTTCAGACTGCTGCCTGCACATCTGAGATATCGTGTTTCTCCGACATGATGGAAATGACATCCCCGAACATTACTGGGAGTCAATGGAGCTCTCAGCTCTGACGGACAGTCGTAATTGAAATGGAAGCAGAAAGCGAGGGAGAGATGGACGGATGGAGATAAGGTTTACTTACGGCAGTGCTGCCTTTCATCGGAGCCATCCTCGCAATCCTCTTCATCATCGCAGACCCAGTGCTGCGGAATGCACTCGCCATCACTCAAGCACTGGAACTGAGCACTCTCACAGGTGGGCTGGGCTGGAGGAGCGTAATGAGACGGCATTGTTAACCAAGAACAGAATTGAGCTGGCCTGCGTTTTCTTTCAAAAAGCTCCTCGATATAGTGAAATAAACATGCCACATGATCTTTTGAAAAACTATTTTCTTGATTTATTAGTCCAAACGTCTTTAAAATAGCATATAACCAATACTTTTTCTGAAGTATATATGAAGAGTTTCCACAGAGACCCGAGGAAAAACTGGGATTAAAGTCCAAAACCTGACTTGAAATAACCTAACAAATCAATCGGGGCTAAAGCGGTCCCATAAACGACAATTTAAATTCACACAATTTGTGCACGCTTATTCTTAAGCAGACCTTAATGTCGATCATGGGTCAAATCGATCCACCATGACAAACAGCGAATATATCTGTTTTGTAGAATTTTAAACCTACATATAAGTGTATTTTTATGATAGCAGTAACTGTAAAGAGACTATTGTAACAGGTAAATCAAATGTAAGCTAGTAGCTACAGTATATTAAAGCTCAAATAAGTTAATGTGTGTTTCTTATAGCAGTTAAAATATAATCATTTTCTTTATCATTTATTTTATTTTTAATTCAGTGGTGTTGAATCGAATCGAAATCGGATCGCACTGCATCGTAATAGGGGTGAATCGTATCGCATCGCATCGGTAGCTGCTTCATATGTATCTTCAATGTATCGTATCGTTGTCTATGCATCGAGATGCGTATCGTATCGGCCTGAGTCATGAGATGCACATCCCTAATGGCTACTGCTAATGCTGTTCAGGGTTACGGATTACAAACTGAACAGCTGTATTTCACACTTGCCACTCTTTGTCAGTGTGACCTTGTGACTGTGGATGAAGAGTTACTTACGGCAGCCAATTTCGTCTGAGTTATCCGAACAGTCGGTTGTTCCATCGCACCTCTGGCTTGCTGGAATACAACGGCCTGTCCCACAGCGGAAAAACCCCGCCTCACAACCTGAACCTACACAGAAAATGACAGGATATTCAGATCATCTGTTCAAATCTGATCTGTTCAAAGGTACAAAAGCTGTCACTGCAGCTGAACCTTGTCAAAAGATACTAATACTGTATGCACTCTTTAGGTACTAATATGTGACCCTGGACCAAAACCAGTCATAAGTAGCACGGGTATATTTGTAGCAATAGCCAAAAAAACATTGTATGGGTCAAAATTATCGATTTTTCTTTTATGCCAAAAATCATTAGGATATTAAGTAAAGATCATGTTCCATGAAGATATTTTGTAAATTTTCTACCGTAATTATATCAAAACTTAATTTTTGATTAGTAATATGCATTGCTAAGAACTTCATTTGGACAATTTTAAAGGCGATTTTCTCAATATTTGGATTTTTTTTGCACCCTCAGATTCCACATTTTCAAATTATTGTATCTCTGCCAAATATTGCCCTATCATAACAAACCATACATCAATGGAAAGCTTATTTATTCAGCTTTCAGATGACGTATAAATCTCAATTTCGAAAAATTGACACTTAAGACTGGTTTTGTGGTCCAGGGTCACATATGTAGTTTTAAGGTACTAATATGCACTCTTTAGGGGTAAATAAGTAGGGCCCTATGAAATCTATTTTATTTTTTCCCAAATTCCATTTTTTTAAATTCCATTAAAAATTTTCTGGATTACGTTTTTTTCGACACTGTCATTACTGGCTTAGCTTGCCTGAAATAAGCAAAAAAGTATGATGTTTGCAAATAAAATGTCAATATTATATTTCCATTCCAAATATAACATCCAACACAAATCTACGAACATATTCAGTAACGGGTTTACGGATAACTAGGGTAACTTAAACACTCCATTAATATAACAGGCTGCAATGGAAGCATTTTTGTAGCTTAATTCACTACATTTTAAATAGTTTGACCACTGCAATTCAGTTGGTGACAGTATAATAGGAAATCAGTTGAAAGCATCCAGTCATCTCATACCATTGAACTGAATATTAAATGTATCTGTATATATGTAATAAATATTTGAGAAATTCTTGTTGTATCTGATTGTATTAGTCTATATAGAGTGATAGTCAATATAAAATGAGCAAATGGGAGAAGCAGATGAACACACACACACAAAAAAGACTGGATTCCACGATTCCGTCTTCATTTTCTGCATCACGGAAATCTTAGGGCCCTAAATAAGGTACAAAGGTGTACCTACAAAGGTACCCCCTCAGAGACAGCAAAATATTCTGATGATCTGCTCTCTAGACATTTTTCACTTCCAGCCTTCATGAATAATTATATATCAATTATAAATGATTAAATAAAAGATTAATAGTCTCTATATATATATATATATATATATATAATCAGAATTATACATGATTTTTAATGGGACGACAGCTGGTAAGGTCAGAGAACAGCATCATTTCCCACATTAATTCTATGTAACATTCTTACCTGAGCTTTGACCTATGATTGTGCCAGCTCTAAATGACAGATGCCTCAAACTTTTGCATCCATTAGCTTTTAAAAAGGAGAAAAAACCACATTCATCATGCAGGCCTATGGGCTTACTCAATGCCGACTACAAGATAGCAACCAAAGATCTACTCCCACAGATCATAAAACCTGACCATGATGGGTTTGAGACATCCAGATAATGTAATGTAATAAGAAATAATGTAAACATTGCAGGAGTTACAACACAAGATAAGGTTCAAAGATCTCCCCTACATGGACAATGCCCTTCTGTACACAACCGATCCGAAGACCTCTTGACCACTCTAGATGTAATCATGCAATATAAATTATCAATGTTGCAGATCCGTGAGAATTATTTTAGATGCATCCTTGTCTGTCAAGTTTATATCTCAGGAAGAAAACAAGATTTTTGAAGTTACTGTACTCTTAATATACTACCTTCAGTGTTTCCCCTAGGTTTACGGCTTTGAAAAAAAAATGTTTTTTTCTTTTTTTTTTTCTGGACTCCTTTTTAATGGTTAAATTAAATTTTATTAATCAAAAAGCATGTCTAATTAATTAAAATCATGAAACTTAAACAATTTAACATCAATTTATTAAATATTTTACAAGAATTACATGTTTAGGGCCCTAGGAAATGTTTTATTTTTCCCAACCTTATGTTTTATTGTTACCAAATTCTGT